CGGAAGTGGCTACGGCTCTTCATCCAGTGCTCCCACCCCCCAGCCGGCTCTCTCAGGGGGTGCACTGGTGCTCCTGCCTGCCCCACCTGCACATCGCCTAAGCAGGGAGTGCAGCCTGTCGGGGGGTGCACCAGTGCTCTTCAGGGGTGCACACAGAGCCTACCCAAGCAGGGTGCAGGGCCCAGGGCCAATCAGCTCATGCAGGGCCCCACCCCCGCCCCAATCCCATGCGCCTCAGACCCAAAGAAGCTGCCGCTGCTTTCAGCAGTGGTGGCATCAGTGGTGGAATGGGGGGTAATGAACGGCTGGATGCCCTGGGTGCATGTGCACCCCGTGTACCTCTTATGCATTGCCACTGGGTCCATAGGCACAATTTACCTTAAGGACTGAGGGGTAGGCAGCTCAGTGGATGCTGTTCAACAGTGACTCAGGGTGGCATTTCATTTCAAATGAACCAGTTTGCTTATGGTTTTGGTTCTGAGTAGACTAGAAGTTCAGGCTTTGGCTGTAGGAGCAGGGTGTCTGGAGCACACTCTGTTGGACATCTTGCAGCAGTATGACTGGATCAACACTGGGAAATGCTGAAGCCTGAATACAAACTGGACAATGTTGGGATAGCATGAGCCAGGACAGGGGGACAAAAGCCCAAGAGGGCCTGAGGCTAGGATCTGTTCAGGAACCTAGAAAAAAAAGCCACTGAGGACTGAGACCTAGAAGGCCAAGACTGAGACTGAAGGGCTGAGGCCAAGAAGGCCAAGGCCAAGACTGAGGGAGAAAAGCCAGGACAGAATGTGTGGACCAGGGCCAAAAGCCACAGGTAGAAAAAAGGGGCCTAAGCCATAAAGGTGGAAGCTGGAACAAAAGGAACTAAGCCTGGGGAGTTGGATTGCCTTTATAACAGAGATTGGGTGACACCTGCAAGACCTGGGTATGGCTAAGGGGGAAGCTGGAGACCATAGTTAACACTCTTAAGACAAGCAGAGCCAGGAGGTCACAATCCAGACTGACAGGGCCCAAAGCAAGAGACTGTGTTCAAGGCAAGAGAGCCCAAATGGATTGGTCTGAGCTTAGCTGAGCACTGAAGATCACATTGCAGGTCTAAGCAGGCAGCTTCCTGGAGTGTATAACAACAACAGAGGCATGGCAGACAAGTAGAAGGTGGTAGCCTCCAAAGACCAGAGAAAGTAGTGCAAGGTAAATCAGGCCTCCAGGGGGCACCACAGCCACTATCTGGGGTTGGACCTGTTACAGTTAGTCTTTCTTATGACTGGTTTGTTTAGACGCCATGGTCTTTTGAAAAGACATTTTATGCACAACAAGAAGATTTGCTCTTTACATTGGCCTCTGGATTTGAATCAATTATGGAGACAGATTTGGAAGCAAGTACCGGTGTAGACCTAAGACTTATGAGCACAGATTGTCTTCACACTCTTTAACCTGCTCTGTTCCAAATCTGTAGCGTATTTATAAAATTAACATACCTTTGCTCTCTTACTGATTTCTCCTCCACTTACAAGTATATCTTTAAGGCATCCAGTATCTGCTTCTGCCTGGCACATAGCCAGTACTGATTTTGGACAAGTGCACGGGTATCAGAAAAATGGACAACAGTGACAACCTCTAGTATCAAGCAAATGCCCCACCCGTTTTGGGATTATGAGATGGTATGGTACAACCAATTATCACAGCTTGTTTCTTCTGAGTTTCATGATTCTCACTAACCTACGTCTGGTAGAGATGCTACCATTATTGCTTTGGCTGATTATCTCCAGCTAGTGATGGACAATGGAAATGTCATGTTTATATAATTATACATAATTAGCTGTTTATAATACTGATGACTATGCAATGTTGCAATAGTCCACTGTGCCGCTTTGAAGTAGCATTGTTCATTTCTTGCAAAGAATTCTGTAAAAGTTGTAATGGGCCATTACTCAGCTCCAAAGACATCCCATACAGGGTACTACAGGATTCCATGTATTCCAGTTTGTATGTGGAACTATTAAAAAGATTAAAGTCTTGAACTGACAGGCTTTCAACATGCTGACAACTTTGTACGTCTTCTCAACTGATCCAGTATTTAACAAGAATAAGGATAATAAGAATCAGCTGGTTGAGGCTCAGGCAAGACCAGGCAATATCAATGCTAGAAGAACTGGAAAAACATTAGAGACTATAACCATGCTAAGATTGTGGACATTCAAATTTCTGGACATGCCTTTGGGATCTCAGTAGACTGATAGGTGCATTTAGAAGATCAGGTGACAGTAAAGATGAAAAACAAATTTTATTGCCTCTATTCCACCACGTGGAATTGGTCTTTTGTGGCTACATGTGGCTACAATCATCCCTGACTTTGTCACTTCAAGGTCATATGGTTGCAATGGCTTGGGTTAAGTCTTCCATCAGTTCCAGGACCCATGCACATGGAAGACATTCATTTGGTTAGCAAGGCATCCTATACAAGAAAAAAATCACATAATGCCCGGGGGGAATCCAAAGTGGGTGCACTGGTGCAGCCCCACCCCCTTTCTGACCATGTGACAGGAGCATAGTCAGAGACTTCTTAAGTCCCTGAAGCACATAAGAATTCTTTCTTCTCTTCCTTCCCCATCTGCAGTCAGCGGCACATATTCTTCTCTTCCATTATCCCTTCCCCTACCTGCCAGTGCCACTGCTCCTGATGTGCTGGGTGTGAGGGGAGCTCCTGGTCTACACTACAGGAGGTAGTGTCAGGCCAAGACACCAGCAGTGTGGGTACAGTTTCCCTGCTTGGTTCCCCCAAGGGTTCCCTGCCAGCCCAGGACCAAGCGCAGGTTAGGGAAACCCACCCACCTGCTACCACCACTGCTGCCACTATGCTGAGCCCAGCTCCTACACTGCCCAGTTGGAGTAGCTCTGGTGCTCCCTTCACCCATGGGGCAGCAGGAACCCTTCCAAATTTTCAGACCACTAGTGAGCCCCACAGACCAGATGACATGGCTCCATGACCTGGATCATTCTCATGAGCTATATCATGGTCACCCCTGCTCAGAATTCAAAGCAGAAATCAAGGCATATTTGTGTAAACTCCCCTTGAAAGAGCGTAATAGTGAATTGTTGGGACTGATATAAAATTACATGTCGCTGTTTGGTAGCATTGTATGTTGCTTGCATTGCTTTTGTAACTTAAAATAATTGGCAGAATGCACAGAACTTACATACAGGTGGGTTTTATTTATTCTACATGGAAAGAAAATAATGTTTAAAAAACTTATAAAGAACAGAAAAGAAATAATAATGAATAATAATAATATAAATTGCCAGCAATAAAAATGATCACACTTAAGACGTGACAAGGAGAACAAGAGAGACAAAAAAATCAAAATGGCATTGATATTATTATACATTTATATTTACAAAACATTTGGACAAATTAATTATATATATAGGCTTAGCAGGATTATTTCTTTATTGGTAAACATTCATAAACATTGATTTCACCTCAGGTTCACAGACCAACCAAAAACATTTCAATCATTAATACTCCAAATTTATAGAAAGGGGAAATAAGAAAAATTACAGCTGATGGGAGTGTGTGATGGCAAGGGGAGCAGTCTTACAGAATCAAGTTGGCTGTAGTTTGGACTGCAACTCCCAGGGGACTAGAGAAAAAGGAAGAGGAAGTGAGAAAGTGGACGAGGAAGCTGTGGGCAAGCAGAGCTGGGGCTGAAGGCAGCTCTGCCACTCAGCTGGCTGCAATCCTATAGTTGTTACATTTGTCATTAATAAATTGTCTAACCGCCACACCCCTAATTTCATGCAATCCTGAAAACATAACTTGATAAAATGTAAATAGCAGTGGATATAGTCTTCCTGGACTTCTGGAAGGCTTTTGACACTGTCTCTGACCCCGTTCTCATTAGGAAACTGGGGGACTGTGGCATAGACACCCACACAGTCCAATGGGTCGCCAACTGGCTAGAGAGCCGCACCCAGAGGGTGGTAGTGGATGGGTCCTTCTCGGCCTGGAAAGACGTGGGCAGTGGGGTCCCGCAGGGCTCGGTCCTCGGGCCCGCCCTGTTCAACATCTTCATTAGTGATTTGGATGAGGGGGTGCAAAGCACCCTGTTCAAATTTGCTGATGATACCAAGATGTGGGGGGATGTCGGCACAATAGAAGGGAGCAACAGGCTACAGTCGCACCTTGACAGGTTACAAGGATGGGCAGATGAGAACAGGATGGGGTTCAACACGGACAAGTGCAAGGTGATGCACCTGGGGAAGAACAACCGGCACCATACCTACAGTCTGGGGAACTCCCCTCTTGTCAGCACGGAGGTGGAAAAGGATCTTGGAGTCATTATTGACTCCAAGATGAACATGGCTCTACAGTGTGGGGAGGCGGCTAGGAAGACCAACTGTACCTTGTCGTGCATCCACAGATGCATCTCAAGCAGGACCAAGGAGGTGATCTTCCCCCTCTATGCGGCACTGGTCAGGCCGCAGCTGGAGTACTGCGTCCAGTTCTGGGAGCCGCACTTTAAGAGGGATGTGGACAGCATCGAGAGGGTCCAGAGGAGGGCCCCTCACCTGCTCAAGGGACAGCAGGGAAGGTCCTA